TATTCTTGTCTTCTTTATTCTTTTGATTGATCAAATACTTTATTATTATTTGCCATATAATTTCAACATCTCAACCCGGTGGTTTGTTCTGCAACAATTGGTATCAGAGGTATTCTAATATCTTGTTTGTTTTACAACAATTGGCATCAGAGCGTCAGGTTCCGCAGTTTCACAAGAGCGCAATGTTTGATTTGTTCGGGGTTTTTTTATTCGTGATGGCTTCCATGAAGTATGACATTCCACTTTTGGATTGGAACACTAGATTTTCACTATGGCAGGTTAAGATACATGCGGTACTCGTACAACTGGATTTGGATGATGCGTTGCTGGGAATTGACAAGATGCCCGTAACTTTGACCGTGGAGGAGAAATAACGGAAGGATAAGAAGGCAGTTTCTTACATTTGTCTTCATCTATCAAATACTATTCTTCAAGACGTTTTGAAAGAGAAATGGTTGAGGTTGGAGCAATTGTGCATGACTAAAAGTCTGACAAGAAAGTTGAACCTCAAGCAGCGTTTATACTCTCATCGAATCGCAGAAGGAGGATCATTGGAAGATCACCTGACTGTATTTAATGAGATCGTCTCTAATTTGACCTTGATCCTATTGTGTTCGTTACCAACTTCATTTTTTTCATTTAGAGATACGATTTTGTATAGTTGTGATACTCTCGCCATAGAGGAAGTGTATGATACTTTGTATTCAAAATAGAAGATGAAGCATCTAATTTTTTAGACCAGAGATGGAGAATGTCTGGTTGCTCATGGTAGTTTTGGAAAGGGCAGATCGAAATCTAAGTTCAGTAATTTGTAACTACTGCAACAAGAAGGGACAATTAAATAAGGATTGCTACAAATTGTAGAATAAAGAAAAAATGACTGTAAGTAAATATTCAGATACTTCGGCGAAGCAGACCTCATGAAGAACGTTGTAAGTGATGGGAAACTCTTAGCTATTTCTGACAATGAGTCTAAACCGGAAGATGATTGGATTTTTGATTTGGCATGTGTGTTTCATATGTGTCCTAATAAGGACTTGTTTGCTACATATGAAACTGTTTCCAAAGGCGTTGTGGTTATGGGAAACAATGCATCTTGTCAGGTTGCTGAAATTGGCACAGTTAGATTGAAACTTTTAGATAGGACATTTAGAACGCTTGGTCAGGTTCGATATGTTCTAGATTTGAAGAAAAATCCCATCTCGTTATCTATCCTTGATTCAAAAAGTTATGAGTTCTTTGGTGGAGGTGGAGATGGAGCTTTGAAGGTTTGTAAGGGTGCCCAAGTTGTATTGGAGGGACAAAAATGTCTCGATTATACATCTTGCAGGGTCGTGCAGAATTTAGAAGAGTCAATCAGCATAAGTTCAGGATCGTGGTGGACATTCAATTTGGTACAATACCTTTAAGAGCTCATAAAGGGTCGGATTTGA